GTCAGGGCAGACAGTGCTGGGCTGGATGGACCAACAGTCTAACTCTTCCACATCCCCATCTTCTGCACAGCTGCTGGAAATACAATGACTCCAGGGCTGAATTGCTGACTTGTTTATTTATGACATTTATATATTACCCATTCAACTAAGTCTCCTGGGCGGTTAGCATCTTATTCCAGCACCATGATGCAAAGCAGTAGATTTAATTCTCCCCTCGTTGTTAAGACACACACTCTAGGCAGTTCGTGCCAATAGACTGATTGGATATGACCTCCATGCTAATAAATATCAGCTTGAGAACCTGCATGGAACTCTGGGACAAAGCTGTACAGCAGCCATTAATGTCAGAGCTCCTCAGTGATATATATAGAATACAAAGGAGGAGATCCAATTACAGGTGTCAGCAAATCTTTGATATTTTAATTCCCATTGGAGTGTTGCTTCTTACTCTTTCTTGGGGCTTCCCAACCAACTCCCTGTGGCTTAGTCCTCCCCCTGGCCTGAAGGTACACAGTGGGGCTTGTCAGGATGACTTGGGGGAATGAGACAGTGTGGTGTAGGGGCTAACATCACTTGAGAGTTCACATGCCTATATAGCATGAAGCTTGCTGGATGACCATGGGTCACACAACTCTCAGCCTGACCATCTCACAGGTTGTTGCATGCCTTCCAAGTGTCCCGATTTTGCAGGGACAGTCCTGGAATTGCAAAAGCCATCCTGACTTCTGATTTGATCCCAGAATGTTCCTATTTCCCCCGCCATTGACAAGCTTGAGGAGGAGGAGCAGGAACCAGTGATAGTCCCAAGCGATGGTGATGGCAGTGGTTGCGCCTCTCCATGGCCACCGCTGCTGGCCTCCTCCCTTGGGCAGCTTGTAGCAGCTGCTGGAGGGTGGGTGAGGAGGAGGAGAGGCTGCCACTGATGAGGTCCAGCCCCACGTGACATGCTGGCCCTGAGGGGCAGGCAAAGGGCAGGGCCGTCCTGAATGGGAAGAAAGAGGGAGCGTTCAGAGCTTTAAAGGTCAGCATGTGTGTGTTGTTTAAATCCCTTTTGTGGCATTCTTAAGGGAACAGGAAGCCTCCCAGCACCTCCTCTGGACTTGGCAAACCTGTCTTAGAGACCTTGGTGTGTAGATGTGTAGCATCGTATTCCATTTCTGGGAAAACAGTCTTATGAGAATCTGAGAAAATGATCACAGACACGCCAAGCAAATAAAACATTCATTTACTTCTTAAGAAACAGCATGATAGAAAACCACATTCAGAACATAGTTCAAAACTTTAAAACATCCATTTGTCCATGGAGGGCCTCAGATCATTGCTACAAGCAAGCCATTTAATTTATTTTATATCTCCCTTTATACCTATATACACTAAGAAATGTATACGGAGAGGTTCGCATCCAGTTTGGAGCCTCCAGAATATTTCTTGAGAGCTACATGGGTCTTTCTGGTTTACCTATATTTGAGTTACCTAAATGCAAGGCAAGTAAAGTAAGATTGTAAGTAAACTGGACAGCACTTATGGCAAGCTTTTTTAAAAATAATAATAATTAGTGATATTATAGTTCAAAGCAGTCATAAAAAGTTATGGGACTGAAAAGTCTTGTTTACATTGGAAGAAGATAAAGGAGATAATATGCAATAATGTATATCATGCATATAAAAACGTGCTGGCACATGCAGAAAAGCAAGAGAGAGGGAAATAACACCACAATGCCATTCAATCCCTCTGTATCCAGCTTCATATATTACACTGCTGTCCCTAATGGTTCTCCCACTGTTGGCCTAAGGTTCCTCTAGCTTTAAGGTTCCTCTAGCTTTGGAGTCTCCCCCATTAAGGTTTCTTTGCTGCAGTCAGTTTCACCTCTCTTGCAGTTTTGTAAAACAAGGAACTGGAATTTGAAGTATGCTTTCCCAAGAGCTGAGTGCAAAACTGACCATCTCCTCTTTGAACTTTGAAAGTCTTCAACTCATTTATGAGTAGATGTAGGCTCCATTGCACACTTACCTGGGAATAAACCTCCCAATGAACTTAAGGGGACTGACTCTGAGCAGATGTGTATAGGATTGTGCTGCAGTTCGGTTAATCTGAGCTACTAGGGAGGATACTAGAATCTAAGGCAGCCTTCACCAACCTGTTGCCCTCTAGATGGTTGGACTACAACCCCCTTCAGCCCCAGCCAGCATGGAGTTGTGCTTCAAAATAAAATATCTGGAGGCCACCAGGATTAGGAAGGCTGATCTAAGGTCTTGCAAACAGATCTTAAATATGAACTTATCTATTGGTTTGATATATCAAAGTTTCTTAATTTAGCATCTTACTTGGCTCCTTGTTGGAGATTGCTAGATCAAAATATATACAGCAGAATAATGCTTAAATCTACTGTTCAGCTTTTAAACATGAAAGCAAGATACATATTGATGTTTTTACCTTTGAGATACATTTAAGAATATAATTTGGTGAATGAAAGTTATAATACACATTCCTTGCTTTTTGTGGCTTTATCATGGGGAAGAGCGGGGCCAGGGGGTTGTGACTTCAGAATCTGGTAAAGATAATTTAAGCATTTTATTTTTGACAGGTTTGTATTCATGCAGAAAATAGGAGCATGGAATCATAGTATACAAGCCACACCTTCCAATGCACCATAAAGACTGTACATCCATATTCCTTCCCCTTATGTACATGCAGTATTATGTATTCTTATCCCTCATATAGAAGGGACAAGGCTTTATACTTCCATCCCACCTATGACTGTGCACCATCTACTTTTCTTTCAGACATCTGCTATCACTATTGACTTTAGCAAAGTACTGAGCCCACTGCTACCCAAAATATCCCAATGCAGTGGGTTGACAATTGGCCTTTATTGGATTGGATTTGTTAGTGTGCTATATATATCTTTATCAGCTCTGCCAGCAATATATCCACTCGTCTAGATCTGTATATATGTGACGGTGTGCCCTGCTTTGAATGATTTCATGTGGAGGAATCTGTCTTCTGCCCAAGTGTTATGAGATTTACATCTTCTTATCACCAAGGTAGAAGTACAAGCTAATATTAGCTCCACAACATGTTGTTTATATTAAATCCCCCATAAATGGATGAGGGGAGCGCTTGCTATTTTAGCCATTTAAATACACTTAATCTACAGAGTGCAGACCTGAGAGTTGTTAATCCTTCCTAGTTCCCATGGCCTCAATGGATTTTGGGGGGACACACGACTATGCACTTCACAAAAGGAATACCTGTGCTATCAGATACTCACTAGAACTTTAGGGGGACATCTCAGTAATTATGATTTTTGTCTGGCTTCACAATGGCTTTGATCCCTAAACCATTTGGAGCTTGGAATGTATATGATTTCATTCTATTGTGGGGTTTTTTTCATTTGTCTACAGACAGACACAAATGTGCAGTGTAGCATATATCATAGAATCCAGCGACCTGGAAATGCCTACTTTGGCCCGTCCGCCCGTCTGCCCCCCCCCAAGATCCTAGTCCTTGTGTTTGTGAAGAAAAGCTTTAAAATACATGAGAGATACCTGCTGAGATATCAGAAGTCAGACTTTGGCTGCTTAGATTTCACACCCCGTGGATACTGTTTCTTGACTCCCGCCAATCTCAAACTTCTATACCATTTTCTACTTCCATTTCTCCTGTTTTCTCTTTCTCTTCCCCTCTCATTTGATCATTAACAATATTCCAGATTCTGGAAAGAAAATAATTATCTAAACTTTCCCATTTCCATTCTTCATTTTCAACCTTCCTTGAAAATCATATAGTTCCTAGCCTTCCCCAACATATGGATTAAATGTTTGAGGGCAAGGGGGAAGCTGGGAAGAAGACATTGTCCAGAGCAGACTTTTCGTGTCTGGTACCCAAATACATATTTATGTATTACATTTGTACCCTACTTTTCTATCCAAGGAGCCCAAGGTTCTCCCTTTCCCCATTTTATCCTCACAACAACCTTGTGAGGTAGGTTAGGTTGATAAATGGTGACTGGCTCAGGGTTGCCCAGTGAGCTCTTCATGGCTGGGTCAGGATTTGAATCCTGATCTCCCAGCACTCTAACCACTACACTCTCTTTTGTATGTGCTAACTGGGGCTGATGGGAGTGGTCCTAAACTAGAATGGGAAGGCTGCTGTGGGCCATTCCTTCTTTACAACTTCCCCCTGCCTATAATCCTTCACTTTACCACATCTGTCCCTCTGCCTCCTCCATTCCTTCTTTATTTGATCCCTTCGGCCCTTCTCTTGTTGCTCCTTCAGACTCCTGCTTCCCACAGCCTTCTGTCTGCCCTTTCCCTCTGTGACATCAGGTCAGGTGTACACATGTTGGAACCATTGTGAGTTGACTGGAAAAACGCATACCAGCAATTGTGCATATTCTCATGAAGGCATGGAGAATATGCACAAATTGGCATGGTCAACAGGGGGGTTTGCACACTGCCCAATCAAAATATGGATAATCACTAACTGATGTTGAGGATTGTGAATTCATCACAGCTGTTTCATTTGTTGCCATACATATTTTATACGGTAACATTTTCTCCTCAGTGCATAATGACCAAGATGATAATATGTACAATGATAATATGTACAATAATATTGTCCTCTTGTGCACATTCCTCAGCTACTTTCCCTGGAGACTATGTATGTTGACTAGGCAATGTGCAAAATCCCTAGTTTGTTTTTTCCCATTTTGTGCACATCCTTCATGTTGCCATATGAACATGCAGAGTCACCAAATTCCTTCCTTTAACTCAGGTCACTGCATTCATTTGTACTTTGTATCCTCAGTAGCATATTGTCATAGAAAAGGTAAATAAGTGTCCTGGTATGTAATTTTACACAAGACGATGAGATAAAATAATAAGCAGCAACACATTGGCAGTTATTGGAGAATGAGCTGTCAGCACTAGAAAAAGATGTATCATGAATGATATCCAAAATAAAGCAACAAAATAAGCAGAAGAGAAGAGATCTCAACATAGAATTCAAGTAATTTTAATATGCAATGCAAGCAACAAAAATAAATTATGATATAGAAGGCACAGCTATGATACAAGAAGAGATATGTCATATGGATATATGAGACTGAGGAATTGTGTGTTGTATTCAGCTAAGTCATACTCAGAGTAGACCCATTGGAATAAATGCACTGAAGTTAATCAAGAACATTGATTTCAGTGGGTCTATTATCTGAATATATCTTAGATGCAACAATATTATTTTTTTATTATTAACAAAGCATCTAAAGTAAGTGCTATCATTCTCTTCTGTATACTGGAGTATCAGAATCGAAAAAACCAGCCGCTTTGCCTAGGTATTCTACTGCAAACATTTCCACTGAAGATGTGACTGGTCTGGGAAAGATGCTCCTGTCTTGCAAGAAACAACAAAAGAAAAAAGAAGAAGATGGTCCCGGCTAAATGGGACCTTCTTTATATACAATGGAGAGAAAGGATTTGAGCCATGGAGAGAATATTTGCCTGGGTTACATCTTGTTAAACTCATTTTGGTTGACTTCGGTTTGAGTGCATAATGACTGGCTAATTCAGCATGGTAGCAAAGGGCCAGCACCCTGGGAACTCATTTCTGCTAATGCAAGACATGTTGCAACATTAAATGAACATTCAGATTCGTAAGGTCAGTGTGTACTTTCTTTTCTATCTAGAGAAATTTTGGCACATATACTGGAACAGGGTCATCATTCTAAACCATTGCTTCAAAAGCAGCATTTGGGTCACATTCTGTCTTGAGCGAGATCATGAGCACACTCAGTAACTTTTTTTTGTTGCTGTTGTTTTGCATTTGATTCACCTAGTGATGTTAGAGGTAAATGCCTCATCCAGGACTGGAGCAAGATCATCATTAAAAGCATCAGTCATTTATGCAGGGAAATGGATAGGGAAGCAGAAAGCTCAAAAGCTGATGATCACATTACTGAGACTTGCTTCTCAGTGGGATTTCCAGTCCAGGAAACAAGTGTGCAGCACCCATCTGCATGCAGAGAAATCCACTGTAAGCACAGAAGAAAATGTGCACAGCCTTAGCTGGACTGGGGCACTGCCTTTCAACATTACCCAAACCAGGAGAATCTTTCTTTTGGCGTATATATTCTAAAATAAAACAAGTATTTTAATCCAACTCAAAAAGGCTGAATCTGTGGGCAAGTGTGTCGTTATACATTGCACACATCCATTCAAGGGACCAAGTGGCAAGGTGTCAAGAGCTTATAATATTAAGTTCATTAAAATCCACATTCTTCTGGTAAGAGATTAGGAGGTGCATCCGCAGGAGTGTCTTCATGGGGTTTCTGTCTCCAATGACACCAGTCTCTTACCTCATTCTGATACATGTGAGAAATTGGCATTTGCAGAGCGTGGATCTTTAGCATCACTCCTGAAACATAAGAAACACGTGGCACCATGTTACAGTAATACTATAACAATCCTTTGCCAAACTATTCTACAAAAGGAAGAGTAAATTGGATTGTTCCAGTGCAGAATCCCAAACTTAACAAAAAACTATGTTATTTTGATGTTATCCTCTTTGGCGGGGTGATCCCTTTCCATCATAGGGACACAGGTGGTGCTGTGGTGTAAACCACTGAGCCTTGGGCTTGCCGATCAGAAGGTTGGCGGTTCGAATCCCTATGGCGGGGTGAGCTCCCATTGTTCGGTCCCAGCTCCTGCCAACCTAGCAGTTAGAAAGCACACAGTGCAAATAGATAAATAGGTACCACTCTGGTGGGAAGGTAAACAGCATTTCCGTACGCTGCTCTGATTTCGCCAGAAGCGGCTTAGTCATGCTGGCCACATGACCCGGAAAAACTGTCTGCGGACAAATGGCAGCTCCCTCAGCCTGTAAAGCGAGATGAACGCTGCAACCCCAGCCTCGTCCGCAACTGGACTTAACTGTCAGGGGTCCTTTACCTTTACCTTTTATTCCTATATATATATATATATATATATAATCTCTTCATCACCCAATCATTAATAAAAACTACCAGCACAAGGCCTACCAAATCCTTTTGGCCAGTATTCTATGGAACATGCAGCCTCAGCTATCTGAAACCCACTATGTAATGTAAATTGAGGGGAAGAACTTTCTGCCACTCTCACCATATGGCCTGTTTTATCATGGTGCTGCAACACACTATATCCCCCACTCTACAATCCCTGCTTCCTTTGTAGATTTGGAAAATGGAGCAAGAACTGGACACCAAGTAATGAATTATATCTCCAGAACTTTCGCCAGGACATTTCTTCTCGTTCATCAAAATCAAAGGAAAGAGATGATTCTGACAAGGCCTCCAAACTGATTTTTAGAATTATTATTACTATATTTATTAACCAACCTTCACCAGCAGGTCCTGGGGCAGGATACAACAATTTAAAAATTCAGAATGAAAAGCGATTAAAATGCATTACATGGGTTGAAAGCATATCTGCAGATTTTCACATCTGAAGCCATGGTATGACTTCAGCAATGCACCCAACTTGAAATTCAGCAATCACCAAGCAGTGGTTTGAATTGTGGCATAATTATAAAAGTGCAGTAATCTAAATTGGTCTGAAGCAATTACATGATCTAAGACACATTTTCTACCCATTCCTTTGCAGCACATTTTGTCTTGTGTGAGGCTGCCCATAACCTGCCAAACTGTGTGGATACCATGCGCGTACTCAGTTCATTTCATTGAGGGATTGAGCCTTTTATATTCCTACTAACCTCTCATAAATTGGTAACACTATTTCTTATAGCAGAGTGACATTGTCACCCCCCCAAAAAAATCTATGAATGCCAGCTTTGTGTAAACAGAGAAAGTGTTATATTAACAAGATGTACATTATTAAATACTTTGTTGCAGATGTATATTTTATCATAGCACTGCCAGAAAACTAACTCCTGCAGCTATCATATAAATTGCTGCAAAATGTAGGTATATTGCTGGTTCTCACAATACTTTACCAAAGGTATGTGCTGTGCCTGGCAACAGAAAGGATTGTGTGAATGGGGCCTTTATTGTGGCTGAAATTCCTTGCTCCTCATAAATCATTCTGTGACTTTGCAATCTTGTTGTGACTTTTGTCTGTTCCTTAGACTAATTTATTCCTTAGGCTTCCTCATTCATGCATTTCCCCCCTTTCACATTTAAAGAAAAGCTGCTTATGCAGTAAAGTTTATTTCTGAACAACTTTCCCTTATTTGCATCACAGGATAACTTATTGTGCCTCCTTTGCACAATATATATATATGTATATAGTTATTTATGTGTCCTTTTTTGCTATAATTTATTTAATGTAGGGATCACCAACAGTCCCAAACTCCCTTATCCTTTATTCATCCATATGACTGTACTTTCTTATTTTATTTGCCTTTTACAATATCTATTGTGAACATTTTTGAAAATTTAGATTTTGATAAATAAGCAGTGATTTAATAAATATATTCCTATTTTATATAACAGTACTTTGCACTTAATGTTCATTTAAAATAAATAAATAAATAAATAATGTAACAATAACAATATAGTGTTCATCCACACAATCTATATTACAGTCACTCATACCCACATATGCATACATACATACATACATATATACATAGGACAGGCGCAGGTGGCACCGTGGTCTAAAGCACTGAACCTCTTGGGCTTGCGGATTGGAAGGTTGGCAGTTTAATCCCCGTGACGGGGTGAGCTCCCATTGCTCTGTTCCAGCTTCTGCCAACCTAGCAGTTCGAAAGCACACCAGTGCAAGTAGATAAATAGGTACCGCTGCAGTGGGAAATTAAACGGCGTTTCCATGCACTCTGGCTTCCATCATGGTGTTCCATCGTGCCAGAAACGGTTTCCACATGACCTGGAAAGCTAGCTGTGGACAAACGCTGGCTCCCTCGGCCTAAAAAGTGCAATGAGTGCCACACCCCATAGTCACCTTTAACTGGACTTAACCATCCAGGGCTCCTTTACCTTTACCATACATACATATATACATACAGGTGTATAAAAATCCATCAATATGGATTCATGATTATGGATTTATATTAAATTAAATTTAAATTATTCTCCTTCAGTACAGCATACAGTCATACCTCGGGTATGACTTATACACTTATTTATATACACTTCAGGATAAGTATTTTCGGGTTGCACTCCACGGCGACCTGGAAGTAACGGAGCGCGTTACTTCCGGGTTTCGCCGCTTGCGCATGCGCAGACGCTCAAAATGATGACACGCTCATGCGTGGAAGCGGCAAAACGCAACCCGCGCAGTTGCGTCTTACGTTCCGTTCAGGATGCGAACGGGGCTCCAGAACAGAGCCCGTTTGCATCCCAAGGTACCACTGTATGTAATGTATGGCGGGATACAGGTTATCCTTATGTCTCTTCTACCCAGTTCTCTTTTAATATAGATTACTATTGGAACCCACTTAGCTATTTCCTCTCTAATAATTAGCTTAACCCACTTAGCTATTTCCTCTCTAATAATTTTATGAGGGTGCATCATTGCAATTAATCTTGTTTGTATTTTTTTCCCCAGACTTTCTTAGTTAAGGGAGTCTATTTTATCCCTTCATTGCCACTACATTTTTGTGTAGTTTGTGTGTGTGTGTGTGTGTGTAACTGGATTTCCTTTCTGCATTACCATTTGTGCACTCATGAGGGATGCTTATCGTTATCATGGTGAAACACCTTTCTACACAGTTTTGGGCCATTTTTGTCTTCACGGGAAGGCCAGTCCAAATATTTGTGCTCCTTTCTCTTTTCTCCTACACCAGTGTTGTTTTGGTTAGAAAACAAGAGTCATACAAGAAATTGAAGTTCAAAAAAAATTTAAAATGTTAGTGACACTCTGCCCTCTGCTGGCTGAAATGTTTTTTTCCCTTCCACCTGCTTCTTCTGATCATGGTTACCTTCCAATCTACAACCACAAAATGTGGCAGTATATCTTGGGAGACGTAGTGAGCCCTTGCCAAGCTGAAGCCAAACAGAGTGAATCTGTCAAATTATTTATTGTATAAGAGTCTAACTTCATCAAGGTTTTGCTTATTCTGTTACTCACTTTGTGGTTTATAGGTACTCTGCAGTGGAGGACATATAGCCTGGAGAATTTACAAATATCTATCAAAAAGACCTCTTGGAGATTATGCATATTGTCTAAAGAAGTTGCAGTTGAGATATGCAAAGACCCCAGGACCTGTTGGAGATTATGCATATTCACTGGAGAATGTACAAAACGTTCTTGAGGTATGCACATTTCCCAAGGCCTGCTGTATATTGACTGGGAATGGTGCACAATTTCCTCTTTCATGGATAGATTATGAACACATATTCCTTGAGGTGCGGTGAATGTGCACAATGCCCAGCTATTATGCACATCAGCCACTAAGCACACATTACCTCTAATAATGGTTGTGTTCTATTTTAATAATTCTTTCATAGGAGCATGCTATAAAACCATGGAAGAGGCTTTCTCACATCATTTGGTCCTGGTCAGTCCAAATACTAAAGATTTAGTGGTAACTGATTTCAGCTATGAGTTACATTGTATGTCTATCCTGAGTCTTTGGGGACAAACTGGATGGAAAAGAAATCTAAACTAACTAAGTACATTACTGGAGGAGAGCAGGTGCCTGATGTTATCTTCGTCTCCTGTCTTCCTCTCTCCCTCCTGGACACCCTTGTGTGAAACGAATGGAGGGGAAGAAGAGTTCAGAACCTGCTCTCCCATTGCAGGCCCAAATGCCCTGTGGGAAGGATCTTGGCGGGTAGATTTTGAAATGGACTTATAGCCATTTTTATTGTTATATTTTGACTTTACTCATAAGCCTCCTTAAAGGCGGGATATAAATGACTGGAATAAATACAATAAATAAATGGTTCACTTGGTGTTAGACTGTGGCACCTCTTTCCATCTGCAGTGGGGCATCTAAACATTAACTATGTATGAGGAGATAGCCAGGAGTGAAGTGGCAAAACTAGTGCTATAGCTGTGGAGGGATTGAATTATTGATATAAAAGCTTGGCTTGCTTGCTTTTTCCTTTTTTTTTTAAAAAAAAAAAGCTTCCCTCTTTGCTTTTGAATAATACATTAAATTCTGTGCCAGTAATGATCATTTTCTTAATATGCTGTGAGAAAGAATGAGGGCAAACACCACCAAAGCTTTCTCTACAGAAAGACATTGGATTGGCGGCTCAATCTTGCGAGTTGCTGCACCAGCAAAGATGCAGATAAAATGAGGACCCAACAACTGCTGTATCAGCCTATAAGAAAGGCAGTGCTTTTGCAGTAGTTACAGTGCTAGGCTAGCACTAAGGTTCAAATCCTCACAGAGCCACAACGAAGTTTGCTAGGTGACCTGGGGCCAGTCACTGCTCTAAGCCGCACCTACCC